GTTGAGCGTCTTCTTGAAGATGAAGAACAAAAATATGAACAATAAAATGACAATTAATACATATCTATCAACAATTGAATCTACAAACAAAATGAACAAGCAGAACAGAAACAGACTCATACAGAGAACTTTTGGATGGTTGCCAGATGGGAGCTGGTTTGGGGGGATGGGTGAAAAGGTGAAGGAATTGTGAAGTACAAATTGGTTGATAGACTGAGAAACTCAAAGGGAAGGGGGAGGTGGGGCAGGAAGAGATAAACCAAAGTACTTATATGCATATATGCATAACCAATGGACACAGAAAATAGTGTGGGGAAGGCAGGAGGGGGGTGGGAGTGGGGAGGAGGTGGTCAAGGGGGAAGAAAGGGGGGCATCTGTAATACATTTAACAATAAAGAAATTTAAAAAGAAAAAAAGAACTGTTTGTAATATGAAGGATTACAATTAAATACTGATGGCTCTCCTAATAATCTTAACAAGAGCCTTATGTTTATGCTGCTTAGGTTGCTTAAGTATAAAATAAAACCACATCTGACTGAATAAGGGAAAAAATATGGACTATATATGAAATATATGGAACATATATATATAAAATAAATATATACACACATATATGTGCATGTATATATGTATATATGCATTATATATACACACACACTATATATAGACATAGTGTGTCTATGCAAAGTTACATAAGAAGCTCGAGACTGAAGTTGCCTCTGTGTGGTTAAGAAAAGAAATATGATAGAGATCTTCTTTTCACTATTTACCTCCTTGTTCCTTTTGATGTTTTGGACAGAATGCAGAGTAAGAGAGATATTAGACTGGGGTCAGTTGGGGGGTGATTGTCATATTCTTGGAAATAAGAGCCTAACTGAGAAAAGAAGGGGTGGATGCTAAAGCTGGAGGGATCCTTGCCTGGCCTGGTGATGACCGAATATGGCAACACAGTGGAGGTGGACAGTGGGTGTTGAGGGAAAGGTCAGAGGGCAGTAGTCAGGGATGACTCTGTGCTTTCTAGTTTGGGTTAACACACATGAGGGCACTGAGTGGATGAAACTGGCTTCAGAATGGTGGAGGCAGAAAGGTGAATTGCAAAATAATAATTAGTGGCAGGGGCAGAGGGGGTGGATTCGGAGGAAGCAATTGTAGTTCACTTCCCCCTGACCAAAAACTCATCTTCACGGGTCACATCAACCACAGCTTCTGGCTATGAGATGATGGAACGGCTTCTGGAAAAGTCAGTATGGGTCCTCTGAAGGCACCACCTTGGAGGGCTGAGCTAGTGTAATGCAAGATGCGGTATAGGCACTCAACCTGCAACTAGACAAAATGCTGTCTCTTCTATGGCCAGAAAACATGGGGCTGGGAAATAAAGGGGTGGAGGGGATGATGCTTACCAAAATTTTCCCTAGCTCTAACACTTACTAAGTTAGTTACCTTGGATAAATTGCTTTGACCTCTCTGTGCCTAGGTTTCCTCATCAGCAAAATGGGCATCATATTCCAATACTGACATCACAGGGTCATTGTGAGGATTCATTGGGATAATAAAATTAAAAGTTTAGAAGAATTCCTGGTACAAGGTAAACACCACTGATGTTAGTACTGTTATTAAAACTAGTGACCTTTGTTTTTTTTTTCCTCACTCAAGGACATTTCTCCACCTTTTGTTCAGATAGAGTGTGTGTGTGGGAGAGAGAGAGAGAGAGAGAGGGAGACATTGATGTGAAAGGGACACATCGAGTCGCTGCCTCCTGTACGACCCAACCAAGGCCAGGGACAAACTGCAACCGAGGTACGGGCCCTTAGCAGGAACCGAACCCGGGTCTCTCTGGACCACAGGCCGGCACTCTAACCACTGAGCCAAACCAGCCAGGGCAAAAACTAGTGACCTTTTAAGCTTTCTTGGCTTTCTTTTCCTCAGACTCCAATGGAATATAGAAGGTCTAAAGAATTTAATACACAAATGAGGCATTTTTTTTCAGAGGATATATATTAATATTTCATTCAATATTTAAACAAATAGTTTTAAGGTACTATCTTAGGTTCCCAAGATTCATTGGCTAAGAAATTAGACACATCCCTGCCCTCACAGAGCCTACACAGTTTTCCCCACTGAATTTATTTATTTATTTATTTATTTATTTATTTATTTATTTATTTTTAACTGAGATATAATTGACATAACATGTATTATTTTGAGGTTTACAACATCATGATTTTATATATTTATGTACTGTGAAATGATTACCACAATAAGTTTAGTTAACATCCATTACCATACATAGTTACAAATTATTTTTCTTCTGATGAGAACTTTTTTTTTCAATACCAAAACAACCCCCATAATTTAAAAAAATTAATTAATTAATTTTAGTTACAGATGTTTCTCCTTTTCCCCCAACTGATTCCCCCTCCCTCTCCCTCCCTGTCCTGTCCCTAGCTTTGTTGTTCATGTCCATTGTTCATTCATACATGCATATAAGTTCTGTGGTTTATTTCTCCCCCACCACCTCCTCTTCTGAGGATTGTCAGTCTGTACCCCACTTCCACGTCTTTGGGACTACCCCATTCCTCAGACTGTTATGTTCATTATATTCCACAAATAAGTGAGATCATATAATACTTGTCTTTCTCTGGCTTGTTTCACTTAGGATAATACTTTCCAGGTCCCTCCATGTCATCTCAAAGGATAAGAGATCTTTCTTTATTACAGCTGCATAGTATTCCATAGTGTACATGTAGCACAGCTTTTTTATCCACTGATGAGAACTTTTGAGATCTACTCTCTTAGCAACTTTCAAACATATAATACAGTTATATGAATTTATTTGGTAGTAATGTATTTTTGAGGAATACTTTTACATTCGCCTTTGTTTAGTGTATATATAAACACACAAGTTAAAAATTACACAGCATAAAAGGCTACACATTGAAAAGCAACTATCCCTTCCTTAACTCCAAATCCCAGTTGTCTTCAGAAAAAGCCTGTCTTACCTAATCTTTTATGTCTTATTACTAAGATTAGCATAAAGGAAATTATTAGCCCTATTTCTCATACAGTGGTTAGAGGAAAGGGAAGAGGAGAAACTCTGGGATGAGTCAGAGGCTTCTAGCTAGGGTGACTGGAGAATGGGGCTACCACAGAGACGTCAAGAGGAAGGAAGTACATTAGAAAGACAGATGGAGTAACATCAAACTACAAGGGTTGAGTAGTACTGCTGACATAGAAGCAAAAAATGTGGACTATTACATCAGTTTAATGAAAATTTACTGATAACTAAAAAGCATGTTAGGAACCAATAGGATGCTTAGAGTTCAAAGAAGGCAGGGACAAGGCAGAGTACACAAATGGTAATATTACAAGGATTCATGGTTAGCACTGCTGTTTACAATCGTCGAGGGTCTACAGAACCATTTCTGGAGTTTGGGCCTCCCACAATTGTCTTTAGGTTTGATCTGAGGCTGCTCCATCCCTTAGTAATGTTGCCTTAGAGCCAGGGTCTCCTAACTTATTTCTACTGGGCTAGTATAGTCCTCTCCTGCACTCCATTTTGTTGTTCTTTTGAATGACACTCATAGATAGTCCTCAGACACATGTTCAATAGCACTGCTTTGGGCCAGTCAATGTGTTCTTAGGGCTTTTGTGGACTAAATCAACCTCTGAATGATTTGCATTTTACTTTACCTAATTTTATTCTAGCTCTTTGTTTTTCAGCCATTAGTTGAAAGAGTCCTAACCCTCCTGCCATTTATCCCATGATCAAGATGATAGCTCTGCTTTCAGCCAGGTGAAACATCACAACAACCTGGGTATCATCAAAAACCCTCACTGACCACCCAGGAAACTACTGTCTGTCTTAAGTCCATTTGGACAAACTGTCCATCTGTTGCTTCTCCCAAGGCTGGTCAGAGGACGGGACAGATTGAACATTCACATGCATCTCTGTTGGTCAAGATCTTTCTCTTTTTTTTTCTCTCTTTTGAGTATTATGATCTCTCTATTGCTCTTGCAGAGTTGACCATGCCATCATCTCAGTCAGTTTTTTTTCCAAGAAGAGAAGCAGGACTCACGATGCACAGCACTGTCCTGCTTTATCCAACGTTCTCTGCTAAGGCTTATCAATAGCTGGCTGGGCATGTGGATCCTCCTCAATATTAGCAACAGCCCATATTGACATGGCTCCAGGATCCAGAGCTGCTTCCACTTCCATCTTTCCTAGTCTCTCAGATTTTGAGTTTGTCTGTCATTGTTGTCAGCACACTAGGCCACCGCCTTCCTTACTGACCCTCCCAGAAGAACGAGAACTCCTTAGCAGAGGGTAGACATTTCTCAAGGCATCGTAAGCACATTATTAGAGCACATATTTCTTTACATTTCAAAATGTTAATATTAACACTATAAAACTATGAAATATATAGCTCCCACTCAGACTGAAGAGGTAGGAGTTCAGTCAAATGTATCCAAGATCGACTGAAGCACTACCTTAGAATCCAGAGTAGATAAAAGCTCCTATTCCAGGAAATGGGAGTGGTACAGAAAATGCAATGTATAAAATTAAGAAAAGAGACCGAATCTGAAACAGGAGGTATTAGTCCTAAACATTAGGAGCCAAGCAGTGTGCTCTGAAAAGAAAAGAAGCAGATAAAATCTGCTTCTGGCAAAGGGGGCAGAACTGGCATTATAGGGCGGCTATTTCATTTAGAGGGAGTCCTAGAGACCTCACACTATTAATGGCTATATTTTCTTGCCTACTGGGAAGGATTAGAGTGACAATAAAAAGGTCAGCCAAAAACTTGAAAAGGAAAGTTTATATACAAGCACACAATTTAAAAATTACACAGAATTGTACATCCGAAACCTATATAATCCTATTAACCAATGTCAATCCAATAAATTTAATTAAAAATATAAAGAGGAACCAACCTACAGGGGATTAAAAAAAATAGTCAAGTGGATTTTACTCTTCAATTAAAAACACGTAGCACTTTTGTCACCTGAGTCTATCTTCAAAATGTTAACAACATGCTGGGCTTCATCAGACTTTTTAGGTACACAGTTTTCTACTCTGAAAAGATAGAAAAGAGAATTGGGTCAGATTTCACAGTAGAGCCACTTCCTTTTTCTAGATTTCAATGACAGGGTCAAATATGGGGGTCATTGCAATAGCAATAAGGAGAAACAAATGATTGAAGAGAGGTGGAGAAGTGTCATCTACATGTTCTTCAATAATTACCCTTTATTTTTGTCTGGGCCTGTCCTTGCCCTATGCTGAGTCCCTGCTGCCTTGCTGGACCATTTCTGAACTGAGTCTGACAGGGCAGGCAAGATCTCAGCACCCTGGATCACCACCCAGGACCCCTAGGCTCACAGTGGCTGGTGTATCCACATAAGTGCTGGGCACTCTGGGTCCTATGTGCCCTGGGGTTATAAACATGTCTCTGTGACCAGGCTCTTCACTGAGGGTTGCTTTGACCCCATGATCATGCAGCCAGAGCTTTGATATCCTTGACAAGTTCAGTTCCTCAGGGAGGATAGAGGTATAGACAATCTGATTATATCATGTTGTGAAAGGATTGATCACCAAGAATATTCATGTAGTCCTTCATGCATACATTCAATCTTTCAACAAATATTTACTGAGCACCTACTATATACCAGATACTGTGCTGGGTGCTAGCAGCACAATGATGAGCTTAAATGATATGATTCCTACCCTCTACAGAGTTTAGTTTAGTTTAGTTTATAGAGTTTAATAAGACACTTCCAAATATATGTAAGTATACTTGGTGTTATAAAAGACAGGGATCCACATTTCTAAGAAAGTGCTACTTGAACCAAGATCTGAAGAATGAGGTGAAGAACTGGCAGAAGAATATGCCAAGCAGAGGGCACAGCAGCTTCAAAGATACAGAAGCTAAATAGAACATTTTATTATTCCTCACTTATTCATGTATTCAGTCCATACATGTAAGATACCCACTAGTCCAGGCACTGTGCTAGGTACTGGGGTTACTATGGTGAATAAGATGCAGCCCGTGCTCACCACATCAGACCCCTTTAGTATTGATTGTTTACTTGGCCATGACTGAGCATTGTGCATTGGACACCCTGCCATCCATTTACAACTAGGGTATTTTCCTCCAGTTCCCTCTATTCTCACTTTCCTTACCCTCTCCATTAATTCGTGTTTGCTGGGGTCTCAGCATGCCCCAGATTTAAGCCTATTCAAGGTATAGATCCTCTGGGAATCAGACTTCTCTCAACAATGTTGTGGGGTTAGGACTCACCTTTCCTTGGCCTGTTCATTCTCTTGCCCTTCCACATTGATGGCTTCTGAAAGAGAACAAAGCAACCTCAGAAAATGTGTTGCCCATTGATACTAAAAGAGGGGAACTTTGAAGAGGCTCCAAAGTCCTAGGACTCAGAGAAAAGTCATTGTAGCCTTATATGTAAAATAGATGGTTACTTAATGCAATTTCAGGGGGACTGAGAAGGAGCTCCTTGCATCCAAAAAGTCAATGCCTTCATTTGCTCACTGTGCCTTAAGTTCTAATGTTGGAAATAGGATTTCCACTTACAACTTTACTTTTTGCTTAAATAAAAATACTAATGGGAGGGGTAATACCTTTATTTTTAGTAATCATTTAGTGATCAGACAAGAGTTTCCAATCCTTTTCTGAAAGTAAGACTTAGGAGGAAAAAGAAATCTTAAAGATGTTGATGCTGAAGTGTTAGCCAGCAGCCACTTACCAACTACACAGTGTTGCATGGATGGACCCAAGTGGAAAACCTCTAGCTGGCTAGACCTCCCAAAGCCCGAGTTGCTACTGGTATGGAATTACTACTGATGCAACTCAGGGTGTAAATTCCTCTAGGTTGACTTCTGTGACAGTGCTATTGTCCCACTCAGAGCCTTATAGCAGGGGTTGTTAACCTGGGTGTCCATGGAGGAATTTAGGGACCACAGGAATCCTCTCAACAGTCCCCCTGATGGTTTTGATCATTTTTTGTCTTTGGCAGTTATTGTGTGTGTGTGTGTGTGTGTGTGTGTGTGTGTGTGTCTGCATGTGTGTTGAAAAATAATTAGCTTTATTGAGGTATAATTAATAAACAATAAAATCCAACAGTTTTTCATCTAGATTTTGGTGAGTGTAACAAATGTATGCAGTCATATAATTACCACCATAACCATAGAACATTTATATAAGCCCCTAAAGTTCCCTCCTGACCCTTTCCCCCATCCTACCCCCTGGTAACCACTGATCTGCTTAATGTCATAAGAGTTTTGCTTTTTCTAGGTTTTATACAAGTAAGATCATACAATGTGTAGTGTTTTTGTGCCTGGAGTCTTTCACTTAGCACACATGATGCTTTTGAAATTGATCCATGTTGTGGCACATTACTAGTCTATACCACCATTAGTTTACTCATTCACCAATTGATAAAAATTCAGGATGTCAGGTTTTTAGTATTATAAAGAAGTCTGCTATAGACATTATTGTGTGTATGCTCTTGTGTAGACATATGGTTTTTATTTCTCACGGGTAAATATCTAGAATCGCAAGGTTGCTATAACAGAGCATGAGAATTTCAGTTGTTTCACATCCTCATCAGGACTTGGTATTTATTAGTCATTTAAATTTTGGCCATGTTAGTGGGTGTGTTTGTATTATCTTATTATGGCTTTAACGTGTACATCCCCAATGACTAATGATGTAGTGACTGTGTGACTATGTTTATTGGCCATTTATATTCCTTCTTCTGTTCAAGTCTTTTGCTCCCTGCCTTTTGTTAAATAGATTGTCTTTTTACTGCTGAGTAGTAATATATAAGTATATATTCTGGATATAAGTCCTTTATCAGATATACATTTTTTGTCTATATTTTCTCCTAGTCTATGGCTTGACTTTTCCCTTTAAAAAAAATGTTTTTTCTTTTTTATTGATTTGAGAGAGAGAGGAAATGAGAGGAAGACAGAGATAGAAACATCGATGAGAAAGAACATTGACTGGCTGCCTCCTGCATGCCCCACACTGGAGAATTGGCCCACAACCTGGGATGTGCTGGTGACCTCTTGGTGCATGGGTCGTCACTCAACCACTGAGCCACACTGGCCGGGCTATGGCTTGACTTTTCATTTTCTTAATGAAGTCAAAGGGTAAAAGTTTTCAATTTTGATGAATTTCAGTTTATCAATTTTATGTTTTTATGATATGGTTTGTATTTATTGTGTACTAAGATTTGGGTAAGGTAAAGTCACAGATTTTTCCCTATATTTTTTTTTCATAAGTCTTTTTTAAAAATGTTTTTATTGATTTTTTTTTAAAGGAGAGAGAGATAGAAACATCGATATGAGAAAGAGACAACTATCGATTGCCTCTTGCACATCCCCCACAGGGATTGAGCCCTCAACCCAGGCATGTGCCCTGACCGGGAATCAAACCAGGACCTCTCTGTTCATGGGACAATGCTCAATCCACTGAGCCACACCAGCTGGGCTTCATAAATCTTTTAATTTTAGCTCTTATATTCAGACATATAATCTATTCAAGTTATTTTTGTGTGTGACTAGGTTCATATTTTTCCACGTGGATATCTAATTGCCCAGCACCATCTATTGAAAAAACTATTCTTTCTTCATTGAATTACTCTCACACCTTTGTCAAATCAGTTGACCGTGTGAGTTTATTTTTTGACTCTCCATTTTGTTCCATTGACTGATATGTCTGTGCTTCCACCAATATCATGCTGCCTTGATTATTGTAACTGTATAGTAAATCTTCATATTAGGTAGTATAAGTCATCTGTTTTGTTCTTATTTTTCAGAATTGTTTTGACAATTGTAGGTTTTTTGCCTTTCCACATAACTTTTAGAATCAGCTTTTTAATTTCCACTATACAGCCTGCAAGGATTTTGATTGGTATTGCATCAAATCCATAAATGAATTTGGGCAGAATTGTTATCTTAATATCTAGGGTTCTGATCCATGAACATGGCATATCTCTCCATTTACTTAGGCCATTTTAATTTCTGTGGGTTTTTTTCTTCTTTTTTTTTTTAGTTTTTAGTATACAGGTCTTGTATTTGCTTTTAAAAGTTTATTCCCAAGCCTATACTATTAGTTGATATCACTGCAAATGCTATTTAAATTTTGTCCAGTGTCCAGTGGTTTGTTGTCAGTACACAGAAATACAATTGATTTTGATATTGTGTATTGACCATGTATACTGTGACTTCTCTATACTCAGTGCATTCTAATAGCTTTTAATAGATTCCTTAGGCTTTTTTTTTTATAAACATGATCATGTTATCTGCAAAAAAGGACAGAGTTTTGCTTCTTCCTTTCCAATATTTATGCCTTTTATTTCTTTTCCTAGACTTGTTGCACTGGCTAGGACCGCCAGTACAATGTTGAACAAAAATAGTGAGAGTGAACATCTCACTTTTTTCTTGATTCTAGTGGCAAAGCAATCAGTCTTTGTCACTAAATAAGATGTTAACGGAAGGATTTTGGTAGGTATCCTCTGTCAGGCTGAGGAAGTTCCTTGTATTCCTACTTTTATAAGTTTTTCTTTCTTTTTTAATGGATATTAATTTTGCCAAATGCTTTTTCTGTATCCATCAACATGGCCACTTAGTTTTTCTTTCTAGTTTGTCAAAATGGTGAATTTTAGCACTTAGTTTTTGTATGTTAAATCTACTGTATGTTCCCGGGATAAATCCCATTTGATCATGATGCTTTTAATATATTGCTAGAGTTTAGTTGCTAATTTTGTCAAGGATTTGGGCATTTATATTCACAAGGAATATGTGTAGTTGTCTTTTTTGTAATTTTTTTTAGTTTTGATATCAGGGCTCCCTCTACCTTCAGAGCTGCCTGGACACTGACTCCAGACAGTAAGTTGGGGGCAATTATAGGGTTTATCTCATCTTTTCCCTGATCTCAAGGACTATAGTTTTCTGAAGCCTATTGTCCAATGTCTTAAAACAGTTGTTTTACACAGTTTGTCTGATTACTAGTTGTTTATAGCAGGAAGGCAATTCCTATAGCAGTTATCCTTCATGTGAGGAAGGAGACGTCTATGTGTTCTATCCTTTTAAAAGAGCCTTAATTGTTAGAAAAGTATCTCTTATTTCCTTATACCTTCTTATAACTTTCATCCATTGAGATGCCCTTTGGAGCCACAGTTAAATATGATCTTTGTTCCCTATGGCAGCTCTTCAGATATTTGTAGGCTGTACTTGTGTCCTCCCAAGGCTTTCTTTTTGGCCGCGGGTTGGGGGTGGGGGGGAGCTAAGCATCATTGGTTACTCAAGCTGTTTCATATCTGATTCAGTTTCCAGACACAATAAATATGGTTAGGTTCTATTTTTGTCAAAGTTCCTCTTGAAAACAATGGTGCTTGTAGCTGAATAGAGTATTTTAAATGTCTTTAGACCAATTAAATTATCCTTTTATACCCATGACAAAATCATCACCATTTAAAAAATCCACACATTTCTATTTTAAAGTTAAAGCAGACAATAAAAACAGACTTCTAATTTTTTGGATTGGGTTAAAAATTTGGCATTTTGAAGGGCAGATGTGATATCACCAGCTTTCAGTTTTAAGCCCTGTGAAGGTTTTTGTTTAAGTGGTGGTTAAAATGATTTATTTTGGAAAAGACACTTGCCCTTTAAGAAATTACTCCTGAAGAAGCTAAGACTCAGGTTTTAAAAAAAACCTGTTAGTTGCTAGGGCACTATTACATACAGATTTCAGTCACACAAAACCCAAATGAGGAAGCAAAACTTTAGGAGGAACTATTTTAGTCTTGTTGATAGGGTAGCTTTTGATTGGGAAAAGAGAGTAATTCAAGATGACAATTTCCCATGCTTTATCTACCTTATTTGACAAAAAAAAAAAAAAAAAAAAACAAGAGAGAAGAGAGATTAGAAACCAGCTAGAATAACCATGCCATTTCCCTTTTACTAATTCAACAGGCTAAAACAGGGTAGATATGTGTAGTTGAGGGGAAAAAAAAACACTACAAATAAGAACAAACACTGGAAAGGACTTTTGATACCAAGTTAGTTTGAGGGCTGTCTCCTTTGAGGGAAGGATTAGTATTGGATTAGGAGGAAGCTCCATTTTTGGAGAAATTCCTACAGGTTTTTAGTAAGCTTGTGTCTCTGTGGAATGATCATGACTGCTTTTATGCCTGTCTGTTGGCAGAATTTAGTTCCGTGTGCTCGTAGGACTGAGATCTCCATTTCCTCGCTGGCTCTCAGTGGAGGGGCCATTCCCAGCTTCAAAAGGCTGCCTAAGTTTCTTGGCTCATAGTCCCTTTCTCCATCTTCAAAGCCAGCAATGGTGGGTTGAGCCTGACTTAAGCTTTGGACCTCTCCTTCCATCTCCTCTTTCTAACCAAGCTGGGAAAGGGTCTCCGACTCAGGTGATTAGATGGGGTCCACCTGTATAATCCAGGATAATTTCATCATTTTATGGTCAGTATCTTAATCACCTATGAAAGTCTCCTTTGCCATGTAAGAAAATATAGATTCTGGGGTATGGGAGGTGAACACCTTGCTGGGGGTATTATTCTGTTTATCATATAGGCAATGCAAGAAGTATCCACAAAGCAAGTGTAGACATTGCTGAAGTTATAGAACCAAAATTTACAAATATCTCATATCTGTATGTCATAGTTATTTGGTACATCTCCCTTCCTCCAGTGATATCAATGCTCTTCTCTTTGACTAATGTCACCAGCACAGGTGACTGACCAAACAATTTCCTACCAGCACTCCAGTGCTTTTTATCACATTCGGTTTATATATGTGCTCTGCTCTCTTGTTGTCTTCCGCCTTTTACCACTCATAGCTTAGTGTGACCATCTCATATGCACACATATAGCTTCTTAAAACCTCTTCCAATTTCTCTCATGAATACACACACATCCTCCTCTTTAACTTCGTTTGCTAGTCTCCTAAATTTTTCTGATTGCCTCTTGGGGGAAGAAACATTCTTACTCTCTTTATCTCCATCCCTTCTTCTTTGTTTCATTTGTAAACTAATCATCCCAGTGTGAAAACAAATTTAGGAGTTAGCTTATTCCCAAACTGAAGGTTACCTCTGCACATTTAGCCAATTCTAAAGGCAATGAGAATGAAAGAAAAAGAAGCTCAAAACTCTTACCTTGAAAAGTCAAAACCTGGACAATACGGTATATTTATACATCTGATCCTGTGCCTGAATTTTCTTTACTTTAGCAGTTTGAATTGCTCTGCCATATGCTTTATATTAATTTATTGAAATGGATCATCACTCTCCAATTTCCTGTTTTTAAAAATTTTGAAATGAATGACTGCTAATATCATCCATCTGTTTTCTTTTTAAAAAAAAAATTTTTTTTTTTATCCTCACCCGAGGACATTTTTCCATTTTTTATTCAGACAGAGCAGGAGGGAGAGAGAGAGAAATATCAACGTGAAAGGGACACATTGAGTGGCTGCCACCTGCACGACCCAACCAGGGCCAGGGTCAACCTGCAACTGAGGTACGTGCCCTCAGCGGGAACCAAACCCGGGTCTCTCTGGACCACAGGCCGACGCTCTAACCGCGGAGCCAAACTGGCCAGGGCCATCCATCTATTTTCTGTGTGGATCTTAAAATCAATATATTGAAATTTAAGTAAGATGCTGACTGGAAGTGTTATTCTTTTTACCATAAGTGAGTAAGAAGGTTACCTTAATTATTAACACTAACCAAACTTCTACTAGAGGCAATTACTGAGATAAAAATCCAACCTTATCTTACAACTTTGCCCAAACCAGCCTAAAGCACATACAGGAATTATTCTAAAGTCAGAAATCACCTTGCCCACATTAAACACAGGCCACATTTACAACAGATCTGGAGAGGCTGCTGAATGCACTGCTGTTTACTATAGCAAAAGTATGGGAACAACCCAAGAGTCCAATGAAATAGAATTGGTTAAGCCCTGGCAGGTTTGGCTCAGCAGTTAGAGCGTTGGCCTGCAGTCCAGAGAGACCCAGGTTCAGTTCCCGCTGAGGGCATGTACAATTTGTCCCCAGCCCTGGTTGGGTCGTGGGAGTGGCAGCCACTCAATGTGTCCCTTTCACGTTGATGTTTCTCTCTCTCTCTCTCTCTCTCCCTTCTGCTTTATCTGAACAAAAAAAAAAAAAAAAGGAAAAATGTCCTCGGATGAGGATAAAAAAAAAAGAAATAGAGTTGGTTAAATAAATTAAGGTATATCCACATAATGGAATATCTTGCAGCCATTTAATATGATGCTATAGAATGATATTTAATAACATCAAATATTTTTTTCTACATTTAGTACAAAAATGTTAGAAAACATGTGAGGCTATCCTAATTGTAGAAAAACAATCCTTATAATATCTCATTTATGGAAAATAACATCAATTTATACATTTAAACATCTGGAAGATATACACTAAAATGTTGTTGGCATAATAATTTTTTTCTTACTAGTGAAACTATAGGTGATCCCTCCCCTCCAGTATGTCTGGTAATGCATATGTAATACTTGGTAATTGATATAAGTTAATATTATTTTTAAAAGTCAGTGGAGAACAATTCATCTAACTTCTTGGGACCTATTTTAGAGATGAGAAGGCAAATCTGATGGTTATCTAATGCTCCCATCCTCCCACCAACATGCCTGCTTAAACACCACCCGCTCTATAGTCACTAACATTTAGAAATATTTGCTTTACCATTTTACTTCATTGAATTCTGACAGTAACCTTATGAAGGGAGGTAGGTAAAGCAAAGAATAATCCGCTTTGTCTGGAAACCAGAAGTCTATTTGCAAACCTTAGGTTAGAAATGTTGCCTTTCCTAGAAACCCAGAGCAACGTAATCAGTTGCTGAGTCCCTTGTATATGGGTTACAGATCCTGAGGGGAAACCGTTTCCTCCAACCACTTGCTGAGTTTTTGCCAAGGAGCTGCAGGAGGCAGGGGGTAGGAAAGCAGCCGCAAAGTGGCACTCTGCAGAGAGGACAAGCCCTGACTCACCACATTCATGAGAGGGGCCAAGCTGTTTCTTCTTCTTTTTCTTTACTGTTTGATATAACTTCAATATCAAACACAGAATGACCAAAACCAGTACAAGTAGAATCGCAGTCATGTACGTCTTGTCTAGGAAAGGCCGGTGTGGCTCAGGTGACTTTGCATCTAAAAATGACCACAAGTTTTTAATCAGCCAGGAAGGTTGATTATAAAAGGTTTATAATGATGGCTGTTCTCTTATTTACATCCCAGGGCTCTACTGCCAATGGAGCCAGAAATACATAGTAATATGACGTGATAGAAAGTCCCAGTCTCAGGGTCTTCAGCAGCTAACTAGGGACCAAGCCAGTGCCTCTGGCCAAATGCCTGGACTGATATCCCTTACCTGCCTGGAATGACAATAACTGTCATCTAGAAGAGGGTCAACCTGGCCCTTGGTTCTGGAATCTGGGTCAAGTGCCTGTGCCAAGGCTCTGAATGAAGTCATCTGTGTGATGCCCTGCTTCCTCAGACCCATGTATAGTCAGGCCCCAGGGCCTGAAGTTTCCTCTGTAATAATTCCTCCATCTGCTGTCATCTCTAGATCAGGCTCCAGACACCTCTCAACCGGACAAATAAACAACCTCCTCATAGGCCTCTTACCTCCAATTTTGTTTTTGTTTGTTTGGTTTTTACACTGAGGTCACAGCAGGTTTCCCCAAGCATGGCTGTCAGCATGTCTCACCCACTAGAAAAACTCTGCTATCTCTTTGTGCCCTGAGCAGTCAGGGTCAGAATCAGCTCCTGGGAGATCAAGACTTCCTTGCATGGAGACTCACAAGTTTCTAGGAAGCTGAAAAACAGGCTTTGGGGGAAAATCTTAGAACCGAGTGGCCCACTTCATAAACATTTATGGGAACAGTTCTTTAGTTAATCCTAAATTTTAGGAAAATAGGGCCAGCTGACCTCCCATTAGCTTAGCTACAGTTCGTGGAGCCATGCCCTGATCCTGGGGACCTTAGGAAGAGGAGTTATTGCAAACCTTGTTCAATACTTGTTGAGTCTGTCCCAGTTCACGCCCCTTTAGCCTATTTGGAATTCTCAGGAAAGGGGACTGCTACCTTTTGACACCCAAAAAGATTCCTTGACTCAGGGTCTCATCTATCTCTGATTAAGCCATAGAATAGGGACACAGAGAGGCCAGACCCAGCTTCCTGATGCAGCTAGAGCTGAAAAGTTTCTGCAGATGGTGGCAGCAGGGAAAGGTTTAGCAGTGGTTGAGAAAGGTGAGTCATAATGAGGCTACAATGGTGGCAAGGCACTCTTCATTTATAGACTGTGGGAGCCATGGCAGAGGGGCCCAGAGCATGTCATGTGTGGTGATGTTAGTGGCTCCAAGAAGGTACTGAACGTCAGGGATAGCTTGGAAGAGGCCTCTATTAGGCTATAGTAGAAGCAACCAGGACAGGCTGGTTGGCCTCACTATTTACTGGATTCTTAGAGGGGGAAGTTTTTGAGTGGAGGAAATCAATTTGCCCACTGGTAAAGTTGGCTGCTAGGAAATGGCCCCAGGGGTTGTACGTAAGAGTGTGTCCATAGGCCAAATTATGTTTGAACAATGACACATCAGAATAGGGGAGGAAGCAAAGCCAGAAGATGGAGCAAGGAATTAAAAATGATCACCCAGGAAGGGACAAAGGAAGGAGCCAGAGCTGGAGAAGGGGCCAAGGTCAGCAGAAGGCAGATAGGTGGGGGGAGGGGTCAGCATCAAAACCAGAAGTGATGGAAACAGTGTGGGAAACAAGTGCCTATAGTCCAGGAAAGAATCTTGCAGTCACTGCTTCTTAAAAGTGGGGATTCAAATACAGATGCATTCCCTCAAGGGCAAAGCTGTGACTTTAAAATGGCAGGCTCCTATTCGTGGACACTAATTAGTCTCAACCCGTTCCTCTAGCGGGATGGTCTCCATACTACATTGTCAACATGCCACAAGAATTTCTGCTTCTGAGTCTTTTCTTGACACATATGCACTGATGTCCACCACCACTTGTGCCCACATTGGATACTGCTAATTGATAATGGTCTTCTCACTTTCTAAGCCTGAATGCTGTCTCAGAACTTTTCTTCCTGTTCAGAAGCCACCACAAGTCTGAGTAACTGTCATCACCTCATTGCATTTATTAAGCCTAATTCTTTCTTTTATTGTGTTTTAAGATCCCACGTCCTTTGGGAAGACTTCCCTGACCCTCAAGAACTTGCCTATATTTGATTGCCTATAACACTAATTACAGTCACTCTTGTTTTTAAACTTATAATTTATTTCTATGGGACAAAATTTAGATTCCAATCTTTTTAAAATCCAGATTTTTATGTGTGTATATCATGGAGTTCTAATTCTATTGGGAAGTCCTCGGTGGCAGAAAGCATGCCTTACACTTTTTAGTTTTCATCCCTGCAACTGACAATGTCTAGCATGGTTCAATACTCACAGCGAGTGCTATGTGTATGTACGTATGGGGTGTGTGTGTGTGTGTGTGTGTGTGTGTGTGTGTGTTTTAATGAATGGAAGAATTCTAGCCTGGTCCTCTTGCATTTTCTGACCTAAATTTCAGAATTGTCTATCCAAAGATAGCCCAAAAGACTGGGTTAGTTTCAGGGCTTAAGAACATGCTTCCTCAAGTACAGCATAGGTTCATAGCCTCCTGGGCCCTGCAGCACTCAGATGAAGCAAGAGCCCTCTGTCTGAGTACAACATGGCTCAGATGGAGGTTTCCTGGCAAGCAAGGGACACTGGATGATCTGCCATAACCATTTGTGTATTATACCTGATAAAAGAAATCGTCTTAGGAAGAAGCCTTACCTATGTTGAAAGGTTGGGAGAGAAGCTGTGTCTGGGTTGGCTCAGGTTGCAGGACACAGAAGATGCTCACATTTGTTTCAGGGGACACTGGAAAAGACAAGCTGATAGAAACGTTGTATAGTTCTGTGATGTTATCTTGAAATATTTTCATAACATCATCATGCTTGATAGTTGAATTCACGGTTTTTAGCAGAAAAAACATCTTCTTAGGTTTTGGGTAACCTTGTGCAGATGAGCAGGTCAAATTTATTATGTCAGAATTTTCTGTTCCATTAGAAATTAGCATTATTTCAGGTTGACTGAAGTTAGCTGAAAGCAGAATAGAGAAACAAAAGAATAAAGAGAGAAAGAAATCAGTCTAAATGTAAATGTATTTAGACGAGAATAGCAAATGACTAGGTGCCTGCTCTGTGAACTCTGAGGGCACGCCTGAGAGCATCAGGGTGTCTAAAGTGTGGGCCTCAGCCCATGGTGAGAGCCACGTAATGGCCCCACATTTTTTAAGAATGAAGTTTGGAGTCATGCTTCATTTCTGCTTACCCAAATGAAGGGGATACTGTCTGAGTGATGGGGGGCGGGGGCTAAATTGGAATCATCAAAATTTTATAATGAGGCCATTCTCTAAAGAATAAAGTCTTTTCAAGGAGAAGTGGTCTGACTTTAGGACCCAAGTGTTCCATGGGGTACATTCCAGGTCACCAGACCAAGAGAACAGAAAGGGATTGAGGCTACAGTTCCACCTGGAACCAACAGAGCTAATTGTGCTGGCGAGCTCTGGGCCCTATCTTCTAGAAACCCACTAAGGATGGTGGTGAGTGAGTGGATGGGGATTTTGGGTTTAGATATTTAAAATATTGGTTTTGGGCATGACTTTCAAGGTATCTTTATCATATACTTGAAGATGAAGGGTAAAGCAGCCATTTTAAGGAAAAGCATATAGTCCTAATAAATACAGAGCTTCTCTTGCCTTGTTTACCATTCAGATTTCTAAGGCTGTTGAGAGTCACTGGTACCTCCTCCCTCTGCCAGCCAAATACCATGCTTTCCTTCTCGAGTTACTAGGTCATTTGCAGGTTCCACATACTAAAGTATAATTTAGCAAATTGATTCTGAAACTTCAATGATTTGCATGCCATCATTATAAGTTTTGCTATATCAACACACTACTTAGGCCCTTTGCTTGTAACTTTACGTGGTCTGTAGAAGTTGGAATGTCATGGTACTACCTACTGGAGGCTTATTAGCAATATCTGTGAAATCACAGGTTATATAAGTTAGTTATAGTTTTTCTAATATATATTAAAATAAATATAAAATCATTAAAATTTTAGAAAATGTCTGGGTCCCACCGAAAACATACCATGTTTCTCTATAGAATCTGGCCACACTTTGAAAACATTGATTTAGCATTTGGCTAAATTCCCCCAAAGTCCTGAAGCCTAGTTTGAATCACATAGGGCTTAATGGGAGCAACTTCCCATTTTATTTCTATTCTTACCTCTGCTTTAACTTTGGTTTCAGAATTGGCGTTAATCTGCCTTTTCCAGTTTAATAAAAAATTAATCTGTTATCTAGTAATCCCACACCTGGGTATCTACCCTAGATAAATGAAAACGTGTTCACACGAAGACTTGCAAGGGAATGTTTACAGCAGCTCTATTCATAATAACCCCAAATTGAAAACAACCCAATGTCTTTTCATGAATTAAGTGGGAATAAATAATAGAATGCTACTCAGTGATCAAAAGAAACAGATTTTGATACATGCAGCAACTTGAATAAAACTTTTATTAAATAAAAGAAGCTGGTCTTAAAATGTTATGTGCTTAATGGTTCCATTTCGGGATGTTCTCAAAAAGACAAGCCTATAAAATATAAAACAGGGGTTATGAGTGTGTTGAGGTATGATTGTAAATGGACAGCATAAAGAAATGCTTTTAGGGTGATGGAAATGTTTTATATCCTTTTTGGTTTGCTGGTCACAAAATCTATATATGCATAAGTTAGAGTTAATAGAACTGTACACCAAAATAAAAATAATTGATTTTACTGTATCATGATTTTTTAAAACCTGTAGTGATATTTAGACTTTCAAGGCCCAGAGAAACAAAGGAGCTGGTGTGCCAGTTTTTAGACTATGTGCATTGGGTTATTTCCCTTCTGTCTACCAGGCTCATGGTTGGACAGCAAACAACTCACACGCAACCTCCGGGAGGTGGAAGGGAAAGCCCAGTTTAGTTAGCTGTCACCCTCACTAGGAGCTCCTGGCAAAGATTCAACAGGTGAGAAATCTTGGACCAAAGGAGATAATGAATGTAAAAGAGGTCTGAGGCCTATATGATTATATAAACTTAGTAATGGCCAAATCACCCATGATTTTTACTTAGCCACATTACCTTTGTTCAGTTAGCTCTATTTTGTCCCCAAAGCAGATTTTTATGAATCCTTCAGAAGCAAACTATGAAAAGTACAAAGGACTTTTAGTTCCCTCCTCCTAAACCCTGCATTACCTTCAAGTGGACTTCCCAGAAATGACTGTCCTTTTGCCTTCTCTCTACAAGTCACCCCCTGCCCCCCACCAATGTTTCGCTGCTCATTACAGTCTCATCTAGAAGGCCAGGGATCTGAATATGCCATTGACAACATACCAAGCACTGATAGGTCAGTACTCATTTGGTGGATGGAAACCATTCCTTCGGGCTGTTTGCGATGATGGACGTAACATTGGTACAAGCCCTGGTCCTTGATCTGAACATTGTGGAGTCGCAGGGTCCAATTATCCTGGTCCAAGCTTGTGCGACCCTTGTACTCGGGATCAACATTATCAGGATTCTCTTTGCCTTGGAAGAGCTCATACAGAACCAATTTTTTCTGGTTCTGCCAAAATACTACCAGCTTATCCAGGCTTATGTTTTCAGAGTTTGTAAAGTGGCACGGAAGGTCTCCAGTCTTGTTGAAATATGCCTGACTCTTCATGGAAGCAGCACCTAGAAAGGAAAGGCAGATACTGGGGAAGAAGAAACAACAGGCGAGAACAACAACAACTCCATTTCTCTCTCTTTTTTTTTTTATCCTCACCCGAGGACATTTTTTTCCATTTTTTGCACAGATAGAGTGGGAGGGAGAGAGAGGAAGAGAGAGGGAGAGAGAGAAACATCGACGTGAAAGGGACACATCGAGTGGCTGCCACCCGCACGACCAACCAGGGCCGGGGACAAACTGCAACCAAGGTACATACCCTTAGCGGGAACCGAACCCGGGTCTCTCTGGACTGCAGGCCGATGCTCTAACCGCTGAGCCAAACCGGCCAGGGCTCCATTTCTCTTTATACAATTCCCAGATGTTGTCTTGTTAGCAATGAGATCAAAGAACTAGGTATTGAGCTCTGGAACTGTGCCTCTGGAGGACAGGACTTTTGTTCTCACTCTACTGAAATGTGTGTGGCCTTGTGTAAACTGCAACTGCTATGAGGTTCAGTTTCCTTATCTGTTTAATGAAGGGGTGAACCAAATGTTCTAAGGATCTATTAGTATTATGGGTCTGTGAATTTAAATCTCAGAACAGGGAAAACCAGCAATTGGACAACTCATTCACCCATCTGTTACCTTCCTACCTAAACACTGATTCACTGTAGCTCTTACAGGCTCCATTACTTCTACACAGTCACCAAAAACTCTCCCTCTTTCTCCCTATCCCTTTATTCCTTGGCCTGCTATAGTGAACAGATTTCTAATAATAGTAACAATTTGATATTCCTCCTCTCATTATGTGTTAATAATTAGGGACGTCATTGAGTAATAGCTTTGAAATTCAAGTAGTTCCTTATACAGAGTTTCCCTCATGACTGCAGCTTTCTTGGCCAGCTCTCCCAAGGATATAGCACAGTTTGGAAATGACACAACTAGTCAACCAAGTCTTCTAATCTCAGTGACCTATCTAAGCTCTTTCAGGGATCAGAAAGAGAACTGGGCAAATACGATGGTTGTTTGGGGTTGTGGTAGTCAAAGACAATTGAAGGTACATGAATGAAATGCTGGAAATGACTCAGAGCTGGGAAGGTGAGGATGTACTTTTGGAGTACTAGGGAAACCCCAATTACCATAAACTTGCTCTTCCCAGTATGCACTGCCCTGGCAATTTTTATAACCCCTGTAGGACAGTCTGGGAGAGTTCAGAGAAAGGCTTTCCTCCCCAAGGGCATATTGGAGTTTGTGGAAGGGGTTTTGGCCACCTAATTCCTTAAGTGTGATTGATTGCATATTGCAGTAACTATAGTGCCAGGTGGGTACTTGAAATATCAGGGGGAACATTGTGTAAAGTATATCATTGTCTAACCACTATGTATACACCTGAACAAAATAATGTTGAATGTAAACTGTAATTAAAAATTCAACATTTTAAAACTGTAATTGATTATAGGTTTTTGTAGGACCTATTCTGGGTCACAGAATTACTTCAGACTTGGCCAAGAAACTAGTGGTGAGTGAGAAGTGCAGGTTTGGGGGGAAGTGCTATTTCTTAGTTAATATAAATTTAGAACCCACCTTGGAGAGGAAGTTAAGGTGGGTTCTAAATAAAGCTTCATTATTCAGGACTTCATTAAGGAGGAAAGTGAGGTATGTCGGTGAGAGTGATGAGAGGAGTTTCATTTGAGATATTTATTGAAGGGTGGTAGGAGAAATTAAATTGATCTGATCAATGGGTTTCTCCTCTAAGAGAAAGTAGGACAAATAACAGTGACATGCACTTGGCAAAATGGAACTGTGTACAGAATGGCCAAGGGGGGTTGGTGGTGGTCTTGAATTTGAAAGGAAGAGGAATCCCACCATCACTGAGAGCTGGCACAAGTTTGAATCACTGCCTATTACATTCTGCTCAGTAGAACCCTGTGAACCACTTGACAGTATAAAAATGCAGCATCCATATAGTATACATTCCCATATTGGAGAGAAGTGGAAAAATCTACCTGGGTACCTGAGACAGTGAAAGGGGGACTGAAGGAAAATTTACTGTACTGAGTATTTATCTTACAAGGCAGCCCTGAGGCTCCTGCTGCTTCTTTGCTCTACTCTGAACAACAAGGTAAGAGTGCCACCTACTGTAAAAGTTTCTAGCAGCTATCTCTGGGGAAACTGATTCTGGCTGAATCAGTAACTTGCCAAATGATGTAGGGCAAATGACCTAATGGAAAAACCAAATACAATTAGAAATTCTGCCAGTTGGTGGTCAGTGTTATGTTATTACTCAGGGGTCAACTGTGCTTTTAGGTCTGGAGATGACTTTGCCTTAAGCTTCTGACTTCTTGATTTATGGTTGTTTCTCTGTTGAGCCTCACTATATGTTGTCTCCTTCCCACCCACTCTCTTCACTCACAGATAGATCCAACTTCTCTGACAGGACCCCTCTGCCAAAGATTAAAAAAGCTTTTTCTCCCACCAGTCTATCTGCTTCCCTCCTCACCTACCAACCAAAGGTGTGGACTGTGTTCTAAAGGCATCGGCATCACGAGAGGCTGGTCAGAAAGGCAGAAGCTCTGTCCCCACCCAGACCTACCAGTCAGAATCTGCATTTTAACAAAAGCTCTGATTTGGGAAGCTGTAATAGTGAATCTCTACTTCTGACTCTGTTCAAACAGAGGAGATAATAATGGGAACAATCTATTTCCATCCAAACCCTCTCTTTTGCCCTGGGGTTGAAATTACTCTGAAACCCATTCAGAGCGGAACTTAAAGTATTTTGCAATTTGCACTCCATTTCCTCACCAACCACTGGCTTCCATGACATCACTCAGAGCTATGCAACCTAGGCACCTCTCTGACAATATGGGAAAGATTTAGCTAAAAGTCTGTTTTCCCTAAGTAGCATCAGACCTCTCCTGTTATTACCCCAGACCCTAGGCCACCCAGCTACTAGACTTATGTGAATTCCATTGGTGGTTAAGCACTGAGATTCTCTCCTTCCCCAGCACTTGGATAACATATGGTCTGGGTCTAGTTATAACTGGCTGCTATGTTGACCTCAAGTGCGAGGCACTCAAGAATCCATCTAGATACTTCCTTAAACAGCTGAAGAAGTTTGTTTCAAAGAATACTTGAGAACTTCCTCAGCAAGATACTATTTGACTATCACACAAGAACTATAGTTTTCTAACCTTGTGAGGTCTCTGACCCATCTGGGACTTCATTCTTCTCTGGCTACTACCCCAAATGCATATCTCATATAGTCAAGGATCATCTCTTACTCATGTTACTATGCTTATCTGTACTCATGAATTTTCCTTCTTTTACTAAACTTCCTTCAATGCTATAATACTAGGCCCTCTGGAACCTTCATTCCATTGTAATAAACTATATCTTCAACCTATTCATCAAATGTTTCCCCCAGGGTTGTGCTTTCATTGAAATCTGGCTTTACCCAAAGGACGCCACTTGTCCCAGCCACTACTTGTTTTGTCATACTTTATGGAGACCTTGAGCCATACCCTTCCCCTTGAGGTGGCCCTGTCTCTCATTGCTGTTGGCTACTAACAGCAACATCATCACTTCCTTGCTCACTGAGCATTTGGGCATTAGATGCAAGGTCTTTCAACCAATTATCACTACCAATTTGAGTGACTTCAGCAGGGACAAGTTCACCAACAAACTTGCCCGAAAGTTCTTTGATCTTTTCCACTTCAAAGATCTTCATCCACCGACTATTTTAGCAGCCCCTCTCCCATGACATAACCTCAAACCTTATCTCCAAGAATTGCTCTGCTCCAAGGATCTTAAACCTCAATGCACCCATTTCTGTCCACATCATATCTTCCTCCAAAATTTGCTCAATTACTTCACCTTTATCTGTTTTTTACTTCACTAAGACCTCTACTCTATCCAGTCTAGACCCTATGGTTCAGTGCTTTCCAAAAGAGCCCTGCAACAATGGAAATGTTCTGTATCTGTGCTGACCAATATGGTAGTCACCAGCCACTACCATTGAGCCATTGAGCCATTGAGCACTTAATATGTAGCTAGTGTGACTGAGAACTAAATTTTTTATCTTATTTAATTTTATCAAATTTAAATAGCCACATGTGGCTGGTGGCCATCACATTGGACAGCTGAGTGATAGTAGATCTTTTCAATCGTTCTCTTGCCAGGAACTCTAATAAACTTGCTCCTTTGTGCAGAACTCATCCCAAGAACACTCTACTTTTGATCTACATACCTGTTCTTACAAGTGAATGTTTGAGCACTCCAGAAGGAAATTATTCAATTATTCAAACTGGTGACATTACAAATCTTGTCCCACTTAACTTGGCCTCTGAGCTGCTCACCCTGCTCACCACCTTCTCCCTTTCTCACAGCAGTTCCTTCTGCTACTGCCTTTTGTTCCTCTTACTCTTATAGTCAAACTCCCTGAAAAAGTGAGCAGCAACGGCCTCCTTCATTCCCAACCTCCGTCCCCCACCTCTCTGCCGAAACTTCCCTGGCAAAAATGGTCAGTGACTTCTCACCATTGCCAAACTCAGACCTCTTTTCAGACCTCATCTCATTTGATCACTGTTGACTGCCACACTGTTGGCTATGTCTCCCCGAAACTCTATTCTTTCCCTATCGCTGACCTCCTGGTCCGTTTTCTCTGATCCACTCCTTAAATACTGATTATCTTGAGTGCCTGCTCTCGATCTTCTCCTTACTCTCCACACTCTGTCTGGTTTTTCTCTTTAGCAAAAGAAGGAAAATTCATGAGCACAGATAAGCATTAATTCAACTGCCAAATATATAAACTAAAATGCACAGATGCTTATCTCCAGCCAGTAACTTTCACTGGAGTTGCAGATGTCCATATCCAACTGCCTGCTGGATACTGCTGTTTAGATAGCCACAGATACTCTGTTCCTCCCCTTCAAACTTCCCTGTCTTCTATTTCAGTGAATGATTTCCCCAGTTGCTACTGTCAGTAACCATCTGAACCATCTGTAGGAAACACCAAAGAGGGTCTGCACAGGTGTGTCTGAGGAGATGTAGAACTACCACAGCCAGAACTGAACTCATGGCTGGGCCAGTTAGTCAGGAGTGGCCTGTGTGCTGCTGTGGCCAAATTGCAGGCTCAGCTCCCCCTCCCTGTCTACCCCACACCAGAGTGGGTGTGTGAGATGGCTTCCCTCTCAGTGCTGAGGGTGGGGTCAATGCGCAGCAGGAAGGGACAGGACAGAAGTGTAGGCACCCAGTCACAGGATGTGGCAAGAACCTCTACCAACCCATTAACAGATGAAGAGACTGAAATTCAGAGAGGAGCTGCAAACAGGGAAGATCCAAGTTCTGTGCGGCCTGATACTTTAAAATTTTCTTTTGGGGGCAGGGGTCTCTTTAAGAAAAGAAACGCAGAATTCAAATATCAAATGCCCCTTCCTCTCTCTAAAATCAAGAAAGGAAAAAGCTTGGCTGGTGTGGCTCAGTGGTTGAGCGTCGATCCATGCACCAAGAGGTCGCCAGTTTGATTCCCGGTCAGGGCACATGCCCAGGTTGTGGGCCAGATCCCCAGTAGGGGGCATGCAGGAGGCAGCCAATTGATGTTCTCTCTCATTGACGTTTCTATCTCTCTCTCCCTCTCCCTTCCTCTCTCTAAATTCAATAAAGAAAAAAGATCCAATACAAAATGCCCATGGCCACTATAACGCCACCCAGCTGGAGGAGAATGTGATGGAGAGAGTATTATGCTAAGCGAAATAAGCCAGTCAGAGAAAGACAAGTATCACATGATCTCACTTATATGTGGAATATAATGAACAGAATAAACTGATGAATGACAAATCTCAGAGGGAAGGGGGAGTGGATGTGCGAGAAGAGATTAATGAAAGAACTTATATACATATATGCATAGCCCATGGACACAGACTATAGGGTGCTGAAGGCCAGGGGTGAGTAGGATCTGGGAGGAGGGGGACAAAAGAGGGAAAAATGGGGGACATCTGTAATACTCACAACAGTAAAGATTAAAAATAATACATGTAGAGAAAAAAAGAGGCAGTGGTCTAACTTATTGTGCTTAAGCTATCTTACTTTTGAAAATTTTAACAAAGCATAAGACACATGACCGTTCTGCTAGGGCCCCTCATGGATCTTGAGTGGGGTGGGGCTTTGGATAGGGCTTGTGCAAGTGCGAAACCCTGCAGCTCAGCTTCATTCGTGTCATGTGAATCGGCTGATGCAATTACCTGCAGGTCACTGAAGTAGGTAGTAGCAGGGATGAGATTTTTTTGCCTCCCAGTAAGCGGTGGCAACTACCATCTATGGGTGTGGACCGGTGAGGGAGGTAGAGGAGGGAGAGAAGGAATGTATAGAACATGGAAACCAATGCTCCCTATTGAAAGGAGACTTTTACAAGCCCATTAGCTGTTTCCTAAAAGCCTGAGAATGCCAGAAATGGGAACAGAGAAGACCAGAAAGGAGTACGTATGGAACAGAAGAGTTAATCCTCGGGGAAATAATAGCAGAGACCTTCCCCTTGCTCCCTGGGTGCCAGTGGACAGGCCAGTCTACCCTACTTTGTGAGACGGAAGAGGAGAAGGATGCACAGAAGAGCAGGGCCTCATCCCAGGCCGGGCCTCCCATCAGCTGAGATACCTGTTCTCAATCATGATGTTTCCTCCTTCTCCAGAAAAGTCTTTTTTTTGCATGTGGCATTGTGCAATGCTGGATAGAAAGTGAATAAAACCCACCAAGTCTCAGGCCCGGGCTGACAGTGGTCAGATTCATCAGGAGACAGTGGAAGGATTCTAGGACTTTACAAAGCCAAAGGTTCTTACCAGAGTGCAGGAGGGCCATCACAAACAGAGTGACACTCAGTCCCATGGTGCTAGATTTAAAAAAGAAAAGATAAAGGGTGATTAGAAAAATGAAACAAAACTGAAACACGACAAGTGAAGTTTGAGATTCACTTAGTTCCATGGGTGCAGCAGAGACGGCACCATGTGTTCATCGGAGCCATTTTCTTTTCCTCCTACCACAGATTCTTCCTGTTTCCCAGCCTCCCCTTTAGTTAGGAGGGCCATGCCATTGGGTTCTGGCCGATAGAACGGTGGTCAGAGAAGTCAGGTGTTACTTTCAGACCTGGCACTAAAACTCCTTTCTCTTTTTTCCCTCCCTTGCCTTCTTGAATGCAGAGGACCCACAACCACGAGTCCTTGCTTTCTCCGGAGTGCCTGAGAAGTAGAAACTCCTGCTTTTGGAGGGAGGGAGCCAAAAGGGGAATGGGAGAGGAAAGAACCTAAGAGTTCACAGGGGAGATTCTCTGAGAGGTTTCTTCAGCTGTGAGCAGAATCAGATCTGTAGGTGAATGAACTGGTCACTAACCTGAAACAAGCAGTCTCCATGTGGCTGGAGGTTCACTTCAGAAACGAAAGGAGAGCACCCACTGTATACCACCTCCCCTTGCTGTACACGCCCAGCTGAATGACTAATTACACTGTTGTCCTCACTATGATGTGGGATTATTTGCCCCCATGTTACAGATGAAGAAATGGAGTCTCAGCAAGGTTAAGAAACTTGCCCTAGCCACCTGGCTAGTAAATGACAGAGTAGAGATTTTAAACCCACGCAGCCTCCCTGCGTTCTTTTTAAACACTGGTGTAGTTCCTTTAAAAGTTCCAGTCAGTTTCAGCTGTGCTGTGGGAACAAGTGGAAGGGGTTCTGGTTCTGCCCACGCTCAGAGTAACAGGGGAGCCGCACATCCCCAGGGCAGCTGTGACGGTGGCTGCTGGGATGCGTGTGGTACTCAAGGAAACATGCTGCGATGGGGTGGGATGACACACAGTGTCCCTTTGTATCAGGGGAGTTTCTGTCCTGGACTTCTATTCATTCCACAAATATCACCTGAGCACCCATTATGGGCCAGGCAGAGAATGCTCCTCTTCCCTCCAGCCCTGGACACGTAGTCAGTTTCCTGTTGTGGGTTAGCTCCAGGCACATGCTACTGTGTTCCAGCTAAGCCTCACCTAGAAGAGCTCTGAGCAAATATGAACACTGGAGCAGAAAAGGGAGGGAATACAGAAGGGATCTTTTGCATCTCAGATCTGAAGCACATGTGAGATCTGGTTCAGGCAAAAGGCAGTAGTATGAAGGGATGTGGACGGGAGGTGGTTAGCAACTGGGCGGGGCAGGTCAGGGAAGTACAGAAATGATTACACGGGAAGTGAGAGGATTCCAAGGCAGAAGTTGGGGAGCAACAACAAAAAAATGTTCCCTATTTCACAACTTTGTCTAGAACATTTGAGGGGATCAGGGTACGAGGGAAAATGCTGTAAGTTTGCTGCTGTCTGAGGAAAGTTGTTCACTGAGACCAGCTCTCATGCCAATGTTAACTGAACTTAGCATCAGGCTTGCTTTAGAGGTTGTAGGGGAATATAAAGATGTGCAGGCCTTGGTCCCTCACCTAGTCCTATAAAGAAACATAGGGTCTACAAATAACTGTAATCCAAGCTCCAGGACCAGTGTGGAAGGCGGCAATGCTCATCGTCTCGCAGCAAATCAAGAGTCCTTGTTCCAGGGAAAGCAGGACAACACAACCTTTGTGGAGGGAGAACCAGGTTGGCCTCAGCCACACTCAGGGCTTGGCCTTTGCCTTCACCAGTTCATACTGTGACTGCACAAGGCAGCCTCGCTGGACTGGCACTCGGGGCCTGGGCTTGCCTGCGGTGACATTTTTTGCTGCATGGATTACTTCTCAGAGCACCAGCACCTTCAGAGCAGCTAGTATTACCTTTGAGGTACTGAGAGGAATAAGGTAGGCTTACTTCCTTTATAATAAAGTTTCTTAACTGCAAATTAGGAAGAGTTCTGGGAAATAAATGTATTTGAATTTTTACAAGGCTTCTGACAGGGTGTCTCATGATACGCTTAAGAGCAGTATGGGGAAATATGGGATTGATATTAGCATGCTTACTTGGCTGAAAAACTGTGCCCTGATATTGTTCATTCATTCAACAAAATTTTTTGAGTCAGGCATTGTGCTAGGTGCTGGGAATGTAATGATGAGCCAAACCAGAAACTGCTCCCCTTAACAGGGTTGCTTCCAGTTTAGTAGAGGAGCAAGATAATGATCAAATAATCACACAAATAAATATGAAATTATAATGATGAAAAGTGCTACAAAGGAGAAGTTCATAATATTTTGAGAGCCTGTAGTATGAGTCATCTACATTGAGATTTGAAGAACAACATGGTAGATTCAAAGTGGACACATTTTTTACTACTTCTCCCATGAAGAGGTGGAATCTAATCTTTCCTTGAATCTGGGCTGGCTTCAGAGACTTGTTAGACCAATAGAATGGGTAGAAGGGAGGTTTAGGATTTCTGATGCTAGATCAAAAGAAGATTCACAGCTTCTGTCTTTCTTGGAGTATACTTTCTGGGGCTGTGAGCATCATGTAACCACTAGCCTGAGACCACTGTGCTAGAGAGGCCATGTGTAGGTGTTTGGGTCAATAGTCCTAACTGAATCCAGCTTTCCAGCATCTCTGTCAAGCTGCCAGGCATGTGGCTTGAATTCTTTAGATCAGAGGTCATCAAACTGCAGCTTATAGACCAAATCTAGCCACCAGCTGTATTAAGCTAAGTCCATTCATTAGCTTAATACTACCAAGTGACCTCAGTTGATGCCATGAGAAACAAATAAACAAAACAAAACAAAAAAACACCTGGAAGCTGCCCAAATGTCTGACCCGCAACATTGAGAGAGTGAGAGTAAAATATTTATGGTTTCAAGCTGCAAAATATGGGGCAGTTTTTAATGCATCAATAGGTAAACAGAAGAGACTGAATAGGGGCTAAGTAGGTAAAAGGTTGGGGAATGGCTTGGGACGATTCTAGGCAAAGGGAACAGCATGTGCAAAGGCACTGAGGCAGAAGGTCGATGTGTTAAAGTGAGCAGAGAGGTAGGAGACAAGGCTGAAGAGGTCAGCAGGAGCCAGACCATGCTTTCCTTATGGGTCAGTTAAGAATGTTGGTCTTTATTCTGAGAGCAATGTGAAACACTGAAGAAATTAAAGCAGAGGGGTTACATAACTAGGTTTGCATTTTGAAAAGATGACTCTGGCTACTGTGTAGCAAATGGATAGCACGGAAGCCAGAACAGATGCCAGAAGACCAATCAGTTGGCAGTCATTCAATTAAAAGAAGATGGCTCTTTGGCCCAGAGTGGAAGGGGAAGAAGTAGAAAGAAGCGATTAACAGGATATGGTGATAGATTAAATATGGGGATGAGGACAAATTATTGATTGGTTCATTGATCCATTTTGTTTACTCAACAACTGCGTGTCAGAAATCATTCTTGTTTTATAGGCTGATGTCAGAGTGGATGCTAAAGGCTTGGATTTTTACTTTTTCCCTTTCCCATCTTTAGTAAAACTATGAATGAAAGCACAGAAATCATGCTTCTGTTTCAAATGTGCAGATGACACAAAAGTGAGCCAGATAGCTACTGGTCAGTTGGTCAGCTGAATTAATAATTATAAACCCTGAAAAGAGAGTCTGATGCTAACATCATGAATCTCATGAAGATAAGCGTAAAGATCTTAAGTTTTAAAATAACAATGGTGAAGAGTGAAATACATGGTCAATAGAGAAACAGCTTATCCACAGTAAATGTAAAAAATCACATAAATGTTAGTGTGGCATGGCTAACCAAAAATTAATTCTAATCTTAGTGCAGAATTTGGTTACTATACCCTGTGCTTACCAGGTCATGTTACCTGTGGTATCACATTCAGTGAGGCTGGTCATACTTGAATGACAATGACAAATCAGAGTTCAAGAGAAGGAGCAGCACAATTCACTAGAGAATAATGAAAGTGTGTCAAATGAGGAAGAGTTAAAAGGCCTGGGGGCAATACACTCGAAGAAGAGAAACCTGCAAGTTCACGACAGCTACAGTTATGTGCAAATGTTTAAAGGCCCCCCTGGGCATGGCGCATGCAGTGCTGCTGGAGGGCAAGTAGTTCCAATAACTGGAAGTTATAGGGATTCAGATTTCAGTTTCAGGTCATGGAGAACTTTGAATAGAGTGCTACAACCAAAGACTGGATGTTCTTGGGAGGTAATGAGCTCCTTTTTACCAGAACTGTTCAAGCAAAAGTGGAGATGTTTTAGGATGGATCACTGAATTGGGTGAGTGAACTCTACAACTTTTAAGTTTTCTTTAAGGTTCTCATTACATTCCAAGAAAGAAGGAAAAATAAAGTACAAAACCTAGACCTTTCTCTGTCCCGCACCCTGAGTTCATTTCTCTAATTTGTAGGATAGTATATAGTATGGTGCATTTACAGGATCCCCGTTCTACGGAGGATCTGCTGAGCTGCCTACACATGGTCTAGGGCCTCAGAAGAGATGCAGAGCAGCAAGCAACCCTATAGCCCGGACGGTGCGGTGAAGGCGTAAAAGTAAGTCAGAGTTGCTCTCAGAACTGTATGCTGGTGACAGAACATAGTGAGCTAGGTCTGATGGTATTAGCAGGCATCGATTTCTGTTAGAGCAGATGAGGCTTTTACCCAGTATTGGCTCCAACTAAGCCCACTCATTCTGATACTCTCACTCCTGAGAATTGCTGCTACATTGCTTAAGAGACTCTTTCTCAGACAATTGCTGTTTTCCTTTCACATTAACAAATATTGACTTCCTAGAACTCAGTGCAGTGACCTTCTGCCTCTGCCCTTCAAAGGCTTTGCAAGCTTCCAACAATTCTAATGACAGCCCTTCAAACAGGTTCCTGAAGAGACAACCCTGCATCCTAGGCATCCCGTTGATGTGTCTCCAAGAACTACTGCCTCCTGATGAACCACTTTTAAATGTTGAATTGAGTTC